CTTTACAGGTAATGGGGTCTCCCCTCCACCACCACCATTTGTAAATATTGATCAGCTGTCTTTACCCACTAGACCTCTCCAGAATTAACTTATTCATGCGAACCAGAAGCGAGAGCAGGCTGTGTGGAACTGCTTTAAAAACGGGAGGCATTTGTTTACACAAACGGTTGTGGGAGCATGGAACAAGCTACACGGTCACCGCTGGAGCCCATACCCTGACTTCTTTCAAAAAACATTGGACGAGATCATCGAATGAACTAGCTACTGACAACCAACCAGGCAAGATGATCTGAATTCGTCGTAGTATTTTTAACGTCGTCTTATGTATATCATTGAAACCTTTTTCTAAAATGAAGTATAATCTTTTTACTACTGATATTGAATATTGATTTTTTTTTCATTGTCAGGATGACTTACTTTTTTAGCGATTTGTGTATCCACAAATCAAAAGAAACTGTTTTTAGAGAAATTGTATCAATCTATGAGTGTTTATTGACACCTTGTGGTCAAAAGTTTAAATTGCAGATTTTTTTATCTTATTATCAAGTCTTTCCTGTACAGCAAATGAAAATGATCGAAGTCTCCACACTGTGGGCCCAAGAGCGTCCTTTGAGAGAGAGAAGAAAAGATTGTACTAAAATACAATACTACTATTGTAGAGCATTTTAGTAACCTGTAATGAAAACATCCAGCAAATCAATAAAAAAATAAAGGTTTTGTTAAGTACACCAGAAAAGCCATATTTTGTACAGATGCTAGCCTTTTCAGTTTCATTGTTTCGCTTGCAGTTCATGGTTGGAAATTTTACTGTGTCACATACTTAACTTTTTAACAGGATAACAGTGTAGGTGTCTAAATGTTTAACGTGAACTAGTTTAAATACAAATGCTGGTCCGGTTCATCTCGGTTATAAAACACTGGGCTGGTGAGTTTGACCAGAGGTTGTTAACCTGACCATTAGATTAAATTAGATTATTTTTTATGTATTTAATCTGAATTTATTGTCTCCGAAACCCAGTGACGCTCCTGCAGCTGGGTTAGACACACTTTCAGTACGCCTTCTGTTTCCAGCTGCAGGTAGGAACATTTACGAACTGTTTTTTTTTGCAGTACCATATTTTGAACAGCTGCATTGGAAAATGATTCTGACAATGGTTCCCCGCAGTGGCATGCAGGTGATACCTCCTTCCAAAGAGAGGAAGTACATCATAGAGCCTCCCAGGAGCGGGAAATTACTGACACCTGACTCATCTGCTCTCCGCTGTCAATAGACATCCTGGCTCTGAGGCTGAATTTTACCCAGGGGCAGAGGGAGACCAGACACAGCCATTGAGAGGGCAGATGAAGTTACATGATTTGTTGGTCTTGTCTGGACAAATCCCTGGTAAGTCTGCTAATAATCACAGAAACAAGCTCCTACAATAGCAGAGCCTAGATTCAAGTACTACAGCGTGTTTCGAAAAGTCCCCTTTTCACAAGACAATATCAAGTCATGCCAGGGGAGTTCAAACTGAGCAGGCAGTTCTCGAGGAGAAAAAGGCTACTCAGTGCTCCCCTTTTTTTAAAGGGGAAGCAGTTTGGCCTGGGTTGCAGTTATGTGGGTGCAGACTTTGAAGGTCAAAGGGGCCCGAGACCCTGGAGTTCAGGGGTCACAACATCTAAAAGAGGCTTAAGACTACGCTGGGGCTGATGAGGGCAGGTGAAGAGGGAGAAGTGCTTGTTGATCTCGGCTGGACAAATCCCTGGTAAAGCTGCTAATAATCACAGAAACAAGCTCCTACAACAGCAGAGCAATTGGATCTGGGTGTACAGAGCCCAGATTCAAGTACTACAGAGTGTTCAAAAACTCCTCTTTCCACAAAAAAAAAAAAACAAGTCACTCCCCATGCCTAGACTTTGGACTACAGGGCCTGCACAGGCTGTGAAGACAACTCGATTCCAAAGTGGGCCTTTTGTTTACAGATACAAAGCTCTACAGTCTCCCCCTGTAGATTCCTGCTGCACCAAAGAGGGCACAAGGGGGCAAGAATTAAAGAAGAGAGATATGAAAGAAGAAATGGAGGGAAACATTAATTTAGCTGTTCTGGAATGAGGCAAGCCACTGCTCTGCAGAGCATTCCACAGTGGAATGTTCTAGAACAAACTAAGAAAAGCAAGAGACAGAGGCACAAAGAATGGGGAAGACCGTAAGCCGTCAGTGTGGACCTTGGCGATGAGGTATGTTCCAAGCGTCATAATTTGTCTTGTGTACTCAACGGAGAGGAAGTTTTTAGATCAAGTGTGAAACCAAAACTTCAAAAACTTTGTTCATTAGTGCTTATTTGTTTAACGAAAAACCTATTCAACAATTATTTCTTGTTATACACCACCCAGTTTGTTGACGCCAGTTCTGTCTTTGCATCTCGACTGACAACAATGACCCCTATGTATCCATACAGGGGAGGATTAGGACAGGCAGGTTATACTGACCCACAAATTCTTAAAGCCAATCACTTCACAGGCTCCACCCCCATCCCTGACTGGACGAAAGGCACAATTCACTACGAGCCTGCATATGACCAGGAAGTTGCAAGGGTTAACTTCAGCCAAGAATGTCCAGGCCAATTGATCCCAATCATATTCATGTAAGAACATAAGGAAGGTTTTGAGTAAGAGATGGCCACCTGAACCATTTAGCTTGATTTCAAGCAGGAAATCGATCTGACGATGTTGTCCTGCCCTTTCCTGATTGGATCCTTGTGTCACTAAGAGGACTGGTCACAGCTGGGAAGTGACAACATTCTGGACTCAATGTGAGACAGCTTGATCCACTTGCACAGAAAACGAAACCTTTGCTGGTGAAACTAAACGCTTTTCACATGCACACTTCAGCATTATAGACAACAGGTTATAATAACTCCTGACCATGATCAAGCTTTGCATCCATCAAAACAAATATATGAAGAATGTGATTGTGTAATTCTAGGAACACACAGATTTTCCTATGTTAGATTTTGTAGCATTGTATTCTCTCAACAAAGCTAATAGGAACCTAATGAACAAGACAGCTCTTCGAGTTTCTAATCTGTCTTATGTTCTTAAGGAGCAGCAGATCACCAGTTTGATAAATCCAGAGTAGGTAGTGTCTGTCATATATCTCAGACTGATAGCGTCATGGAGTAACTCTAAAATGCAAAGGTAAGCTGTGCAGATAAGACTGCCTTCCACTCCACATAACCATTGTGCTGACGGAGCCTTTGCTGGGCCTGATGTAACCTCAACCAACAGCCTTCAGTGATGGGACTGATGTGTGTCCATACAGAGCAAGAGCTCAAGAAGCCCAGAGGCCCTCCATCTGCACTCCAGTTTCCACTCATCGCTTTCCATCACATAAAGCAATGAGATAAAGCACAAATTCCACCACATTTGTTGGTTCCGTCTTTTAATTCTTTGAATCGCTTCTCTGGTATATCCGGGAAAAAAACTCTTTGTACACATGTAATTGTTTTCCTTTTAATCAAATGTGCCCTTTAATGTCAGTGTAATCATGCGAGTACATCATTTCACATTTAGCTTCAGCTTAGCCTCAGAGAAAACTAAATTCACAAAATCTTTAAAATAATGGTTTACTATGAATGTGGTTTAAAACAATCATGAAGATTTTAAAAACCGCATGCGCTGAGACTTGACATTTGTGTATTAAAATTGAAGGGGTGAACAAAGCTGTGAGAAAAACAACCGCATAAAGACAGGAATTCCTAACCAAAAGATAAAGTGGGGACACCTTGTTTATATAATGTTTACATAGTAAAATTATGTTTTTTTAGGTTCTCTCTGTGTTCATGTGGGTTTCCTCCCTGAGTCCAAAGATATACTGGTATGTTAATTGGCTTCTAGGAAAATTAGCCCTGGTGTGAGTGTGTGCACATATGTTTCAATGTGTCTACCCTACGATGCACTGACATCCCATCCAGTTTAAATCCTGTCTTGTGCCCGTTGTTTGCTAATCTAATAACCAGTTGTCAGATATATTTGTTTTAGGTCTCAGGTTTTCACCTTGTGTAGTGTTTCATTTCAGTGGAGTATAAAACTGTACAACTGAAAGCCCATGAGGACTCCACACAAAGACAGGAATAGACGTCAAACAGCATTTTTAAGTCCAGCTGTGTGGATCCTGAATTGGGATTCTCCAAGGAGATCCACACATTAGTCTGCTGGACAATCTATATCGGAGGTTCTCAGTCCTGGTCCTGGGGGACCCCTGTGCTGGTTTTTGTTCCAACTGGGCCTTTGATCACCAGTGCTAATTAATTAGCAGGCACCAATCTGCTGGCTGCTTCAGACTTTTTTTTTTTGCACTCAGTTCTTAGTTTCAAAACTACCCTAATTAAAGTGCATTATTTCCAACAACTTCACCACAGAACTGTATTCACTCTTCTCAGCTTGCTAATTAAAAATTGACTGCCTTATCTGACAGCTCTTATGTGGTGATCAATTGATGATGAACAGACACAGGTGGGAATGACACCGAATCACACTCCCGCAGTGTTCTTCCTTGTGCTTAAGTCCAACTGGTTATATTTCAGCTTACACACCTTTACGAGAGTAGTCCTGAAACTCACTAATTAGCACAGTGTACATACCAATTACAGATCTCATGCAGCTTTTAAAGAGCAAAAATCAAAAACCGGCAGACAAGGCAACTCCAGAAGCAGGATTGAGAACCACTGATTCAGGCACCAGGGCTAGTCAGGAATCCAATTTGTACTGTTGGCTTTATGAACAAATAAACTCACTTGAAATCACAGCCCTATCAACATTAATAGTACTCCCCGAATGAGTTTGTGACAGGCTAAGGAAATTATTAATAGAGTATTAGTTGTGTTGCTCCCTCAAAAGTGTAATTCTTGTTCTTCAAGTTCATGAGATTTGTTTCTAACTAGCACATGGGGGGGAGTAATAATTGCTTACCAAAGTGTTACTCAAGCCTGAGACTCAACAAAAACACATTAGCAGCCAACTTGCCTTTGAAAAACAATTGATTTTATTTACAATATCAGCTGGATCACAATAAAAATGTTCAAATGACCTGCCCTAATAGAAGCAGTGAATATACTCTTGGAAAATGGAAGTTAATTTGAAACAGACCTTTCTGTTTCTATTTAAGCTATCCAGGTAATATTGGCAAAGAGGTCCTTGGAGTAAGTGCAGCAATGTGTCTCTTTGTTTTCAGTGACTTTCTCCTTTCTTGCCGACAACCTATACAGAAAACAAAAGCATGTTGAGAATAAGTTCAACCTGATTTCTCCGCCTGAATGCAGAACATTAACATGTAGGATGCACTAGTCTACAAATCTGCTAGGTAAATCTAATTAGCATGTGCAGCCTTATTCATTAATATCTAATTAAACTTCCACCCCCTTGAAATAAAGCTTTCAAAACACTCAATATAGTCCCATATTATCTCATAAGTAAAAAGTACCAGTTGGAGGTTTACTTATCCTGTAAGAAACACCTAAGAAATGGTATAAATAAGAGGGACTTTTGTCAAAAAGGCTAACATAACAATATGAAATTAATGTCTCTTTTTATGCTGCCTGAAGACAAAATTAAGTTTGAAAAAACTAACCACAAGTATCAAATTTAAGTTGTGTCAATAGAATTGAAACTGTGCTTCAACAGAACAACATCAATCCACGTGTAGGGACACACATTGCCATCTGAGATTATATAAATTCGAATTCACACATGTTGTAAGAACATTCGTTTTCATATTAAAACAGAATCCATTTTTTTATTCTAGTCGCATAAATTAAATTATGAGGATTTCTTAATCCCAAAAAAGAAGCATCCAAATAGAAATAACTTCATAAACAGTAACACCACAAAATGTATCATTTTTAAGGGAGTATTTTAAATTACAATTTCAATGCTTGAAACGTATGGGAGAAAGAAGCTAAACATCAGCAAAAACTGCAAAGACAAATAAAACATCAAAATGTTAACTGTATCAGCATTCACTCTGGCCCTAGTCAATACTTGATGAAAGCACCTCTGGCAGCATTTTTCAGATGCTACTTCAGTTGTGAATTGCAGCTTGTGGATAGGTCTCTACCAACCCTGCACACAGCAAGTTTTGCCATTCTTCCCTGTAAACTTGATCAAGCTTGGGAATTGTTGATGGATAATTTCTATTTTGTGTTGGATTTAAGTCAGGATTTTGACTGGACCACTCAAGCACGTTCACCTTCCTCTTCTTAAGACACACTAATGTAGCTTTTGCCTTGTGTTCTGAATCATTGGCCTTCTGAAAGGTTAATTTTTCTCCCAGTGACAGGTCTTTAGTAGACTGAAGCAGGGTTTTCTATAAGACTTTATCAATTTCCCTTCCTAATATTCATATTAATTTCTATTAAACACGTTGGTCACAAGTATCATTCACGTTTCCCTGTACGTTACCTTACGTAAAGCACATACAGGGCATGGCTTTGTGTATTTTCAGACCACGCATTATTTACACTGTAAGTCTAACACATGCATGCTCAATAGATACAACCTGTGCAGTTCACCAGTCCAGCCGGATATAGCCTCACTTGTGTATACACAGTATGAAGTGCTTATCTTTGTTTTGCTGTTTAACCAGGCTTTAACACATTCCCTATTGATGAGGTGATCTTACTTCAATCCGAGATAAGGTGATTTTTTTCCTGATTTTACACTGTACACTTCCACGTATAAAGTCTTCCTACTGGACTGTTACCAAAGTCAATTTAGCCTCGTCCAGTGGCAAAGCATGTGAAGCAGAAGTAGAAAAGTGGCTGCGCTGAGCAAGCATGCTATAGAAAGGAAGGTGGCGACACAAGAAATGTGAGCGTCTCCCTTTACAAGTTACATTATTTGAGAGGATTAAATCATGTTAATTTATGAATTCATTCAATTTAGCAAAACTAAACCAGATAAACAAATATGAATCGGAAAATGAACGAGATAAATATGCACGTACAGCCTAGGGAATTACACAACATGGGCTGTAGCTTACCAATTTTTACCTGTACAAGTAGTGTCACTTAAGAAACATGGGATAAAAATTAAGAATAGCACCTACATTTTAATTTTGTTGCAGATTAGCAGTACAGAAGAAATGTAAATATCACTTTGGCCACAAGAGGGTGTCAAAACCCTGCTTTTTCAACAGCTGGAGGCAACTAAAGAGGCATTGAGGCCCTGTTCTTGAAGTCTAGAAGGCCTGCTGTCATGCAGACAGTACCAACATGGCTGACTCGAATCCTAGGTGTGACCTCCTGAATCTGCTCCCAGAGAAATTACATCATATATATAATCTTCATCACTATCATCATCAGTGGGGAGGAGAACAGAGTAATAAAGTCAGTTGTTGGATGGGGATTATTCAGAGGCCATGATACGTTAAGGCCAGGGGGAAATTTGGGCAGGACACTGGGGTTAAAAGCAGCTTAAAGAACAGCTAACCACATAAATTAAATGAAAAAATGGTGATCACTTACCTGTTCCTCAAATATATATTTAAATTGATTCATATCTAAAATAAAGTAGTACATTGAGGTATGCCTACAGCTTGGGGAAAAGTGTGTGTATACAAGACGAAGATCTTAAGGCAGTATTTTTGGTCAATGGAAAGGGGGAAATTGGACATTACCATGAGCCCTGCCTCAAGTCTGACTTGACAAAGGCTATAAGGACACGGTGGAAATCCATATGAGGATGCAAGGAGAGCTACTGGAATTCAATTCAAGCTGCTCAGGTGTGTTTAAATCTCTCTTTAGTATTAAAAGTGCTTAGAGAGCCAGATTCAGATGCTCAGATAAATGGCTGGCTGTGTGCACAAAAGGAGAGACCCAGTCTGAGTCCACTGATTCCACTACACTGCTTTTACTCTCATCCGGAGAGTCTCAGGTGTGTGCCCAACTAGAGTGGCGATAGGATAAAATCACCTCATCCCAAACTCAAAAGCTGGTAAACTGTCCAAGCTACTTTCTCATTAATTTCCAGCAAACAATGACAAAGCTGTGTTTCTCATAACAAACATTCAATCATGCTGTTCCTCACCCGTTTGAAGTCATTCATGTTAGTGGCTTGTACTGGGGTTCCAATAAAAGTTAAATAATTTACTTTCGTTGTTTCTTCATCCCCTTGGTTGGACTTTATAAATAGCTTAAAGGAAAAAAAAAGAGTAAGAATTAACACCAAACATTTTTTATGAACAACAATCCTATCAGTGCAGTAAAATTGCTTTAAAAAAAAACTTGTTTAAAATGCTGCACCTTGAAGTACATGCTTAATAGTGGTGATGAAACCATAATCCTCAAATATTTGTGAAAACTCAAACGCCATAGGTAATGTAATAACATATTTCATTTAACGCGGAACAAATCATGTCTGAACAATATCTGAAACAAAGCAAAAATATTAATGTTATAATGGCACTGAAAACTTTCCAGGTTTCAGATATTATAGATGGCGCTGTGGAAACAGAAGACCATATGAAAATGCGTTCACAGCGCTATTAATGAATCCACTTGTAAATACAGCTTACCCTTTTTAATAAAATATCGTTTATAGTGTATATATCCCATTCAAATGTTTCAATTTCCATGTTACTAAACCATTTCAATCTAACTTCCTTTATGTTCACACTAAGACCATACAAGTCCCTGCTTCAAGGTGCAACATAAAGTAGTGGTCACATGCTTTGCAGGAGATAGTCCTGGAATTGATTATGAATGTGAAGACCAATCAATGGTACAGCTCATCATCACAGCTTGCTTAATGCTACAGAAATCAGCAAAAGCAATAGCCTAATGAGCCACAGCATGGGCATGCCCCTGCTTTACAGTATGCTTAAGACAATTATGTTGATTGCTGCCATATCACTACGTAATGCTTACCGGAACAGAAAGTACTTGCGCATTAAAAATTATTGGGGGCTATAAGTACTTTGTTGTGCACAGCACTCGTGTTGCAATTCAGTGTAAGAAATAAAGCCTTTACAGTTTCCCTGAAATAATACGACTGGGGGAAATCTACAACAAGAAATGCAATGTGATGTAGATGCATTAAGGTTAGGCTTATAGTACTATTTTACCTTAAGGAAGGGTTGATGATAAACCCACCTAAGTGTACTTTCTACATAAATGAACAAAAGCTTGTAGGAAAAATAAGTAACACACTTATGTCAGTTATGCCCCAGCTTGTCTTTTTTTTTGTTTCATAAAAGATGAAAGGGATGCATGCAGCTTTGTTGAAGTATTGAAGTCTCAAACTTTTTTCTGGAGAGTCCAGTATCTTCTGGCTAACATTCAGTCATTCAGTCTTTATGTAACTGCATAATTCTCATATTTCTATACAGACTCAGAGGTGTTTTATTGAGTATTGTACATTTAATATTTTGAATAATGAATTGTAAAAGTCCTTACGAAATATACTTCATACGTCTAAGAAAATAATTAGGTTACTTGTTGAATGGACTACTACAAGTTGGAACAAAAATCAGAAGACACCAAACGTTTGAGGAATTGAATTTGAACTCCCTGGTTTAGATCAGTCTGACAAAATGAAAGTCTTTTCATTATTACACATAGTCAGCCAATGCAAGTTACTTCCCATGTATGTTCATTGATATAGTGAAGTTGTATGATCACTGAGCCCATTAACTTTGGACAGTTAGTTTGTAGGTCATAGAAACCTACTTATAGCTTGTTTACAGAGACTTTTCAACAGAATGTTTTAACACTTATTTCTCCGGCATTACATAAAATGTTTATGTCTTCAGTGCCCTTTAATTAGATTAAAAATGAACCTCTTGTCGCTAAATCGAAGAAAAAAATCAATATACGTGAACTGTCAATATGTGAAGTCACTTAATAAGAGTCTTGGGCAGTTAAGTGTGGCAAGTATGGCTTATATGTATTATATCCCAAACCTATTCTTGACTGGCCTCAGATCTAATGACTGAGAAGGCCTTGACATACAGATAACATCAGTGTCAAGCTCATCAAACCGCTGGGCGACCACACATGCTCTATAGATGTCATCCTGGACAACACCCTTTCCAGCAGGACAGAAGTGCTGCAACATTGAGTGAAGGTGACCACTCAGTGCCATTAAGCAGTGGTCAGCATTAACCCTTCCTAATAAGGGAACGGTTGTACCCAAACCATGCCAGCTACATGTCTTGAAACTCCATTGGTAGAGGCATGGAGAAGGATGATTCATCAGACCACATCTTATTTCTCCATTACTCAGCAGTCCTTTTCCTGTGCCCTCTGAATCACTGGGCGCACAGACATGCACTTCCAGGTGTGATTTGTGCAGTGCAACCGGAATATGGTATTCTGCTCTGTGGAAATCTCGGCAGACCATCATTTGATTAAAGAGGCTGCTCATGTCCTTGGTTGAAATTCGCAGGCAACTGATCTGCAGTTGTTCTCCTGTTTTGCTATCCACTTCAAAGGAAAGCTCATAATCATAATCCTGGGTCATTCTCCATTTGTTGCCCTTGGAGTTCCAAGCTGACATCACTTTAGACAAGGTTGCTTGTGAAACATCACCAAGTTGTGCTTTTCTGATCACTGACACTCCTGCAAAATAACCTAACATTCACCCCTCCTTCAGCGTTACAGAGGTATCTTCTTGTAGCCATAGTTCCAAGCTAACAGACCTGTCCTTCATTTTCATAATAATCCTAAACATGCAGGGACATTATTTGCTTAATTAAGGCATAAGCCATACTTGGTTGTAAGCCCTTGTTTTTAACTCGTTTACCCATGTATTTCCATTTGTTGCCCACGTATAACATATGAATCCTACACTGTGTGGGAGTGTCTATAAATGCAAAATGTATACCTTCCAAACAAATACAAATGTTTGTCTTAAATTTCCTTTACTGAAGAACCTACGTCTCAGAATTTAAAATCTGAATGAAATTATCCTGACAATTTCTGTAAATCAGACCGTTTCATCTAAAAAATTTGGAACAAACATTACAATTATCCTTAACAGCTATACAAAACAGAAATTCCACTAATGAAACGGCCAGTGAATTTTTTACTTACAGTTACGCTGTTAACGTTCTGAAATTTGACGTAACGCAGCGGTATAATGCCCTCTTCCTTCACGTCATCTTCTGTGAGGTCTAGTTTTTGGGTGGCTTCACTTCTTTCAGCATCGTCGAAGTCCATAGAGCGGGGCAGGTTTATGAAGATTTTTACACACTTTGGTGCTTGAGCTGTGTGCACAAGCAGAGGAAAGAACAGTGTGTTTCAAAATGCATCCAAAGGTACACTTCCCCAAGAGAAATTTGACACCTGTGTCTGTTAGCTGCAATAACCTGTCTTTGCCACAAAATTGTGCTCCTGTAGCATATACGTTACACATTTCTTATGGCAAGTGGCAGTGATTTTATTTATTGAATCTGTTTTGTTGCATTGTATAAAAAAATACAATAGGGATTACTGTCCCACATTAAAGGTTTTGAAAGTAATAGAGAACATTTTCTGATTTAAATAGAATACCCATAAGACAGGTATATATGCAGGTAAGCATTTAATGTCATGAATCTTCATTTGGAATTTGTTTTACAAAACATTTCCCCAAACCTGCCTCTTGAACTAAAAGGTGATCACTGCTTTTCCTTAATATGGAGCTGAGGCATGAACAAGGTTCACTTTTCTGTGAATCTACTGCCTGACAAGTCATTTCCCAGTTGACAAATCACACTTTGGATCCCAATACAAACACTGGACATTCCCTTTTAATAACTAACTAGTAAAATCTGGTGCCATTTCATTACAGACTTTTGTGCATTCTGTAGTTTTATCCAAGTCGTTTTGTGTCGTCCCATATTGCTTAACAACACTGATTATAATTCAGCAGGTTATCCCTAGCCAGGTAGAAATGTTATTTACATTCATAGCGCCTTATAAGGCTTTCAAAATCCCTTCTCAGATGAAGGCCATTGTATTATGCCCCTGTGCAGATGTCAATGGTGCAGTACTGCATTCAGTAATACTGTAACAAGGGAAAGTTAAAGCCAATCGCTGGGGATCAGAATGCCACACGATACAGTACTGTATAGTGTATTAACATTGCCATAGTACAATTTTGTACAGTAATGTAACAGCAATAATGGGAACTGTGGTAAATGAGTGCGTATAACAGTTCATTCTGGGTTGCGTGCATTTCAGCCTATGTTAGGTTGCACAGAATATAACCCTTACACACCTCATTGAGTCTCTGTACTGACACATCTATGATGGCACCTATTAATGCACAATGTTCAAAGTGTGCACTCTTCTGCCTTTTTTTAAGCTGCTGCTCACATTGTGCTATAATAGACTGTACCACATCATGCGGTCATTTGTCAAAGATGGCAACATGGTTTGAGACTTTTACTAACCAAAAGCCTGATGGCTCGTGCTTGCTCTGCAGTGGTGAACAACTTTTAAAGCACACAGGGAAACTGTGGAAGGTGCTGTCAGCAAATGACTAATACCTGCCACATTCATAGCCAAGAAAATGCGACAGCATGATATTCAGTAAAAGTCACTTTCTGAATCCTGCTCAATCTCATAAAAAAGCCTTACCAATTTCAGGGCTGTGAAGTTTCATTGAAAACAGTTTGACAGGCTGAGTGAAGGCCATCGTAATCAGTAGCTAGAAGCGAAAAGAAAATACGTTATTTTTTCGGTCAGTGACTTTTTTCTGTGTTGTTTATTTAAACGAAAACTTGTTTTGTTTTGAAAAAATTATGAAGCAGCATATATTTGGGGGATCTGAAATGACGTATTCCACTCTTGCACACTCCACTGTCTACATATTTTCATTATTTTACATTACTTTAATCAGTTCTGATTTGGGAGTATGACCCAAATGGTCATGGATGGCACACTAGCTAATAAAAACCACGTCAGAGAATCTGAAAAATCTATGCATTTCATACTATATCTTAGATGGTCTACAGATATAGTTGTCATATATATAAGGTTACTAAATTCCCTGCTCTGGATCCAAAGCCATAAAAACCACTATGGCAATGTCCTAGCTGGCACAGTGGTATGCATTCAGATACAAACAGGTATCCCGTGGAGTTTCAGGAAGTCATGCATGATGATGAATAAATCATGCTTGTTGTGACCAAACTGCATTGTGTGCTTTTGATTTCATGCCATTTTTACTGCCCAGGTAAAATAGCTCTTTGCATCAAGAAAGGCTGAGATGGTGTGCTTCTAGGAAAGAATTTAAGTGACAAGATCAAACGGTCAGCAACAGCAACGTAATCCTAATATACACAGAAGGAATAAATTGATTGTTTAGGTCTTAGCATGGTAGACGGCATTCTGCAATGCATTACAGTAGGAAACATTATACTAGAGATGTAGTACTACAGCTGCAGATTACAACTGTTGTTCTGACAAGTGATTTCCAATAGTGTGAAAATACATAACTCAAAACATTTCACTTCATTTTTAACATCTCCTATTTCATGAAAGTAGTCCAAGATAAGTTTAGCGAAACAATTGAGTTAAAAACGCATGACAAGTAAGGCTGGAAAACAGCAGTATTTTTTTATATTTCAGTCAGTCAATGTCAAATGTTTTAACATTTTAGTCAACACTGTACATGACAAAAGACATTCTTTCATTAAGTGAAAAATATGTAGCCATTTTAAATCTTTAAAAGGAAAAAAGACTAACTGGTGAGAAACTTGTTTACCGAAGCCTTTCATTCTGCCTGTTAGATATTCATATACAGAATTCAAAGAGAGTAGACTGGTTTTTGGGAACCAAAAGCCTTCTGTACAGGATTCATTAAAAAAAATAATATCACAAAAGTCCACACCTGGTGGTACAGACAAATGAGACAGAACTTATTAGCAGGCGCAGTATAGAAGGTACTTACGAATATGGCATTTCTCACAATAGGCGAGAGGCTACTCTTGCATTTCTCCTCTTGAGATGTGATCTCACAGGCGACTTGCATTCTCCCACAATGCCCACAGGAAATCCACCCCATGGCAGACCCATGTCCACAGCACACAACATTATGACGTGAACCGCATGAGCTACTGACTCACCTGGTCATCACAGTCCGACTCCAAGAAAGAGGGGTCTTTCTGTAAGCAGTTCTCAAAGCCATTCTCATCACTTTCATTGAGGCATTCACACCCAGATTTGTTAACGAAGGGCATGAGGTCCATCTGTAATGCCAGACAAAAGATATGGACTTTTGGAGGTAAGAGACTACTTTTTCCACATACAGCATCTGGGCAGAATATTAGTACATTTACTAATACTGACACAGACATTCCTTCGCTCATGCTACTGGTAGGAATGCACTCAGCCTCCCAAAACATTTTCTGTCACTGGATTTAATATTAAACGAACATCCACCCATCTTGTCTATATTCTGTCAAAAGCTTGCCATTAGGCATAAGCCTTTCCTTTCAATTGTCAATTTTTAAATATGCAAGAGAACAGCTCTTCTACCTCGAACAGCTTTCGCTCAAATCTGTCACAATCAATACCTGCAGTAATCTCACAAACATGTTTTCATCAAAGAAAATGTTGGGGACATGAAGTCTGGATGGGAAGGGCCACAGATCCCATCACTCTATTTGAGGAAATGGAATAAAAAATAATATGGAGCAGGCCTATCAAACATCAAATGCCTATTTCCACATCTGCCTCATAATCAATGCTGTGCTTATAACTGGTGCTTGTGGTAGTACTGTCAACACAGGAACCACTAAAATGTACCCAGTTAACACACAGCTTCTATGTGTAAAATAAGAGTAGGAGGTTAAGCTTTGGGTTAAAGGTAGTGTAAGAGAACTGATAGGCACTTATACCCCGCTGCACTGTAGTGGCACAGACAACACCCTCCAAAAGCAAAACTGTCAGTTATAAAGGCCGGGGTATGTGATAAATCATTGTTTATCGCCCAGTAAAGAACAACTTTATTTTTCCTGAAAACTGAACCCAAGAACCGGTAACGATGGATCCTGCGCAATCCCTCCGCCCACCAGCTAGAAAAATAATTTTGACAAAAGAACCCCACTGGCAGACATTTTGTCAGAAGCCGAGTCATCGGAGCAAACTTCTTAGCGGCCCCCTCATGGCAATCTTTATACTTACGTATCCTTTGGGAATATCGGAATCCTCGTTGCTTCCAGGGTCATTTTCTAGATGCTGTTTTATCTTCTCCTCTAGCCCTGAGGCATCCGCCCCCTGGTACTGATCAACCTTCACTTTGTTTCGGAAGAACAGAAACGTAGGCGTCGCCGATATATTATTTGCAGCAGCAGTGGCCTGAATGAAGAGCGGGAAGCACATATAAGCTTGTGTGACACACACACATAGAAGTAGCACTGCAACTGTGCACGCAGAGGTGGTCCGACTACATGTTAGTGGAGTTACAGTGCAGTTTTCCAGGTGATTATCTTAGAATGTTCCAGCCCAACTCACCTGGCACACATGCACGTCCACCTCCAGGAACATAGCCTGTGGGTATTTATTGCTCAGCATATTAAAAGCAGGAGCTATTCTTACACAGGGCCGGCAGCTGAAAGAAAGGCAAAAAAAAAATGTCAGTAAGCATCACTGAGAGCAGCGCTGAGATTCTAAGAAGTAGAGGCTTGCTGACGCTAAGGATCATCCCAAAACGTTTTTCAGTTACAAATGAACTCAATGAAACTAAAAAGAAGCTGAATCCATGAAGCAGAAAGAATCCATGAAGCATTTACTAGGACAAATACTGAAGCATCATCAACATTCAAGTAGGGAGCTGTGTCAGCATGCGTAGGCTGCAAAGGAACAAGTAAAGATTTATTCCATGCTGAAAAGAAAAAAATACGTTACGGCTGTAGTCTTCTTCATACCCGAAACGTTGTTTCTCTTTTCTTCTCTTTTCAGCATGAAATAAAGCTTTACTTGTTCCTTTATAATCAACATTCTGCAACAAAGTAACAACTGAATTCGGAATTGGGACCGTTTTCATTAAAACCAGTCAGGTGTTTACAGAATAGATTACTTTGTATTTTAACGTTTTATCTATTGGATAATCCAAAACGCTGGTGTGTATAACTTTGTAAAGATGCTGCTTATCGATTTGATTAAAGTCACATTATATCTGAAGATTTACCAAATGAGCTTGAAAAAAACTGAGACGTTTCTAGTTAGCTATTAAGTAGTTCATCAATTATTAACATGAATGAAACACGTTACGTAAAACTACAAATTACTGGAACCAATTTCATCCAAGATTCACTCAACTAGAGTCTGCGAGAGACTGGCTAAATGTTATACGATTCCATGTTCGCGCGGTGTCAAAATATTAGTGTCGAAATATTGGGGGGGGAATGAAATCCTGAATTAGAAACAACAACTTCTAATGCAATGAAACAAAGCGATAGATACTTGTTAATGCAAATACCAAAGCACAGACTTACACCACGACCGTAACACGATCACCAAAAGAAACAGTTTCACTTTTAAATTCAAGGGTAGCAGCTCGCTACATCTGAGATTCAAATTACTTCTTAACGTTTGATCACGACTTCGGTAACAGCCCCGTTTTTATTAATTGAATTTTTACTGACGTACTTGCTACTCCACTTCAATGTAGCTTTGTATTACCAATACTTTGAGAACCCGAAATACTCTTTTAACTTCAATGATCAGAGAAATATACTATTTTTATTTTATTGCTATTAAATATTCACGCGTGTGCATTCATTTTATTTTATTGTTTTCCAATCATGTTAATGGAATTACTTTCTTCGCTAAGAAAACAATGCCCCGGCTCTCGCAATGAAGCCTGGGACTAGATTTCCGCCCTTACCCAGCCATAGTGAACTTGACTACGGCGAGTCTGGAGCCGGCGCTTGTAAGTTCAGGCTGGAATTCAGAATCATTCCCGATTACCTTCACCCCGACCATTTTACGTAACACGCAACAGACCGCTCACAAAGCAAAGTTCCCAGAGTAATGTGTTAAAAAAAATTATACTTTTCCACAGAACGAAGCTAAATAAGCCTGACCCTAAGCAAAATAAAACAATATCATAAAGTCACTTATCATGCATCAAACACTTCTCGGCAAATCGCCTGCTTGACGGCAACAATGCCACTAACCAATCGGATCCTTCCGATTCAAAAGGGGTGGGATTATCGCCCTTAGTAACGGGGCAACTGCCCTGGTGACTCTGGGAAATGATTCGCGTAAAAGACTGCAGATAGTCGCAAAACTGCCGAAAAGTCTTCAGCAAGCGTGTTGTCTGGAGTAAAAGGAACTTTCTGTTTTTGCAGAGTCACGAGTGTCTTTTTGTGCCATGGAAAGGCGATGCGGTATCCAGAGGTTAAAGCCAGGATACATTTTTTCTTCATTGCTGTAGCCCATTTTTCAAGGAAACTGTATATACTGTCTGCTTTATAGGTTGGAGATTAAAAGAATGCTGAACAATGTAGTTCATTTCACTGAAGGAATTTTCCAAAATGGAGTTACTGGGATTGTAGAACTTGAATATTAAGTCTCCCAAGACACGGAATTAATCCTGCGATCTCGTATCAGCCTCTCAAACCAGAACAATTAGTAGATTCTGATTCGTTTTAAACTTTAAAAGCAATTTACATTTTTTTTTTAGTCTTACACGTTTTAAGTATCCTTGCTTACCAATATGGTTAAACACAACTGATTTGCTATGGCTGTTTAAAACTCCGAATTCTTCATCTGAATTTTGGCATCCGGTTTGATAATTCAAGAAACGGCAGATTGATTGTAAATCGTATCGATTGGGCAGCATGTACTTCCCAAGTGTTCCATGTGGACTTCTGTGTGTTATTTTTTGTGTGTGTGCGCATGAAATAAAAATCTCTGGGGCTCATTAATGGTACCTAGGACCTACAAGTGAGCAGGCCCGCTGACCTGCCCTGCTAAAACCCACGTGTTCCTTTCTTCCTACCTGAATTTGGACACCCCATGCAGGCTTCTCGAGGGATGCGACTGGACACACGTGCTGCTTGCTGATTGAAGGGTGATGCTGCGACATTCTGTACCACAGTTATTGATTACGTGACCTCTCCCCTTTCCTAGCCCCACTTGTTTCATGTGATAATGATAATGTTGCTTTATTAGCCCTCTACAATTTCTTGCATTAGGAATTCGTCTTTTCGCATACCCCAGCTGCTCTCCATGAGACACAGACACACAGACAGGGAGAGAAGCTTAGGGTCAGAGCACAGGGTCATTGTACAGCGCCCCTGGAGCAGTTGGGGTTAAGGGCCTTGCTCAGGGGCCCAACAGAATAGGATTCCTCTCCCAGCTGTGGGATTTGAACCAGCAAGCTTTCAGCCACAAGCACAGATCCTTAGCCACAGAGCCACAGCTCTGCCCATTCAAGCAGGGGGAAGCCTTTCCTCCCCCTCTTTCACCCCATGTGTGTCCAGTGGATGCCTGTGTGTCTTTCTCTGCCTTTCCAGCTGTTTTCCTCTGCCCCTGATCCGCATGCCCCTCTGGAAACGTAAATGGCAATCAACCTGTGTGAGCCTGATGCACCTGCTCTGGCCTGTCTTTCTTCTCCGCCTGCACTGGGCAAAAAGGAGCCACTGGGCTTGTGGAATTAAAATATTAAGTCTTTTAATATCTGTTTTCATACAGGACACAGGAATTCTCAAATCCCATACTTCTTGTAAACCAGAACAACGGGTAGATTCTGCAGCATGCAGGAAAAAAACATTGTCGTAAAAACATGTTTAAAATACTTTAAACCCGTAAGGTTTTGTTGGCACCTATATATCCCTGCAACCCACTGAAGCTCAGCAGGTGTGAGCCTGGCCAGTACCTGGATGGGAGACCTCCTGGGAGAGCTAAGGTTGCTGCTGGCAGAGGTGTTAGTGGGGCCAGTAGGGAGCGTTCATCCTGCAGTCTGTGTGGGTCCTGATGCCCCAGTATAGTGATGGGTACACTATACTGTAAGAAAGGCGCCGTCCTTCA